AAAAAAAAAAAAAAAAAAAAAGACAAGGTACTGTCGGGGAAGTGTTTATTGATGCTTGACCGTGTGTTCAGCCAAAAGAGAGAAACCCCTCTGAAGGCAGAAGGCCCCGGTGACTTGCTTGGCCTTTTGGCTGGGACGCTGTCTAGAAGTTGGTTGCATGGTTGCGGAAACATGGGAAAATGCTTTTCTCGAACGCTTCATTCCGGGTGCATCGCTTTCCATTCCCGGGTATTCAAGTCGCAGATATATGCTACGTAAGGCTTCCGAGCAAAGTAGATGCGCGGTCCTCAGTCTTCGGTATCGGTGGGTCAGCGATCAGGATCTAGTTGGGCTCGAGAACTAAGGATAGTGACCATGACCCAAACCCCGCGCTCGTCCGTCTCTGGAGAAGCTGGGGAGAGTAAGGCAACGTGCGCTGCTGAAATCCGGGGTAACCAATAAGGGGGGACATGATCTATAAACCGGCTGCAGATCCTCCAACACCCTCACAGTATTCCAGTCAATTCTCCCTCCACCTTCAATGAATCCCCCAACAGTCGTCGAATTGAGCTCTTTTGCAAGATGGGTGCAACAGTAAACAAGTTTTTGGGCCTGCTCGGCACCATATTGAACATCGCCATCGCCATCATGGCAGGAGTTGACCTTCTATAAGTCTCTTCTCCTTTGATCTGTTTAGCCAGCAAGTTAATCTTCTCTCCTCACTCATTATACTTGTGACTGACACAATCTTTTCCAAAATATGTGGTCTGTTTGGATGCGATCAAGGTGTCATGGGGGGACTTCTTACACTGCCTTCTTTCGCCTCGCAATTGTGCAAGGCCTATCGTCCCATGAGGCGTACCAGCAGCCCCTCCACCAAGGTAAGAACCCCTAACCATCTGGTATCGTGGACTTTGGATTCGAATTCCTCTGCTTTAGGCATTAACGTAGCATGCTACAACCTCGGTTGTTTCCTAGGGCAGTCATCATCATGAAACTCGGCAACGTCCTCGGCCGTCGCCACTCGATTCTCTGGGGGTGCAGCATCATGATCATCGGCGCCGTTTTGCAGTGCTCCGCACATGCTCTGGCTCATTCCATCGTCGGACGCATCATCACGGGTATCGGGAACAGCTTCAACACCTCCACCGTCCCAGTCTGGCAGTCCAAGTGCTCGAAGCCGCACCATCGGGGTCTGGCCGTGGTCTTCGAGGGAAGAATTGTTGTCGTCGGAATCGCCACCAGCCAATGGCTTGACTTGGGCATGTCGTTCACGGGGCCGAGCGCTGCTGCCTGGCGATTCCCCATCGCCTTCCAGCTGATCTTCGCCATCTCCGTCCTTGTGGGCGTATACTACATGCCAGAGTCACCCCGATGGTTGATCCTCAAGGAAAGGGACGACCAGGCGGTAACCATTCTGAGCGCTATTTACGATGTAGACCGCGGCGACCACTTAGTTATGGAGGAGATCCAGGCGATGAGGATCAGTGTTCGCGAGTCAGCCGCATCGATCCCGGACGTCTTCCGAATGGGACCCAAAAGGAACTTCCATCGTGCGGTGCTAGGATATTTGACCCAGGTGTTCCAGCAAATTGGTGGCATCAACATTATCATCTATTACGCTGCCGCCATTTATCTCAACCAAATGGGCCTGTCGCCGCTGGTGTCTCGTATCATTGCTGCGGCAGGAGGTACATGGTGTAATGGGAGAAGTTGGAAGTGGTGGATAGCGTTATGATTGGCTGGGGCGCCGACCCTAGACTATGGTTCTTCTTATATAGTTCTGGGGGACTATCTTTCATACAATACACAAGCAACCAAGTTACCAACAGAGAGGACTTCCCCTAGTTGAGTGTGCGCGTTGAGAAGAGACCATACCCACCGCCGTACGAGTTGATGCCCATGGCTAGTAGCCTCGCCCCAGTTCAATGGTACTTTTTCTCTTGTATTCCCGGAATCTTTCTCGTCAACAAGATCGGTCGAAGCCAGCTCTTGCTGTTTGGCTGCGTCGGCATGACCGTATGTCTGATCATTGTGGGGGTGACGGTCCACATAGGTGGCACCGGACCCGGGGCTGCGGCGATCGTCTTCATCTGGCTCTATCTCTTTTCCTACGCGCAAGGCTGGAATTCCATCCCTTGGCTCTACCCGGTCGAGATTGTGCCTCTAGATATCAGAGCCCAGTCGGCCGCCATTTCGACCTCGGGGAACTGGATCTTCAACGTTATGGTCGTCATGGTCACGCCAGTCTGCTTTGCGAGCATTGGCTGGAAGACTTATATCATGTTTGCCGCCTTCAACGCCGCTGTGCTCCCCATTGTCTATTTTTGCTCCCCTGAAACGGCACAGCGGACCCTTGAGGAGATGGATATCAAATCCCCCAAGCCTACTGGAGTCCTCAACGCCGTCAAGGTGGCCAAGAACGAACCTCTGCATTTCGATTGACACAACAGGATTGTCCAACATCTGACGGTGCTTGAGGAGGCGATGGGCAGTGGGCGCCACAAGGATGACAAAGAGGTCATTACCCATCACGAAGTCATCAACTCGGAAGGGGACAAGACCGTGTCTACCAACTCACCGCGTGCCTGAGTGCGGTTCTAGACTGCCGGCGCTGTTGTCCACTGTCCAGCAAGCCCAGGCTTCTGCAATGCATGTGAAACGGATCTCGGCCGGCTTCGTTGTGAAAACTTCACTTTGGACAAAACGAGAAAGGAGGCATTCATGACATCTGCGAGCGGGCGGATTTATCGCCATTTTGGATGAACAAGTTCTGACTGATATACGTAACTCTCTTGAGATAGGTGGGATAAAGGAGAGTCACTCATTAGTTGCTTGCAAATTATCTTTACTGAGTTGCAAAATCAGAGTCGTCAATATCGCAGAAGCACCAAGTACTACCATGAGACGATCATAATCTCCAAGAGCATCGTAAAACCGGGTAGAGAGGTGTGAGATCCATTGTCGACACGGCTGTCCTCCTTTTGGCACGCAAGGAACATGGCTTCTTTTTCCACTGCGAACCCAAGATCCTCCTCATCCATCTGGTGACCTTTCCCTAGCTACGTATGATATGGTATGTGGCTTGGACCAAACGATATGGGTTTTCTCCGAGTTCGCCAGTCCTCGTAGTTTCCAAGTCTCACCTTAGACAGCATCTACAGTTAATTCCAGTGTCAAAGGTGTAAGAATCTATCATGGCACGAGAGCTAGATCCACTAACCCTCCGTACAAGACAACGACAACGTAGCCAATGCTAGACAGGTTCGAGGAACGAGACATACTTCCATGTTCTACATGGGAGGGTCTCCAGTGTGAGTGAGTGAATGTTCACCTACGGCGACGTTGCCTAGGCTATTACCAGTACAACGGATGGCGGAGAGCCTTGGTCTCCCCGGGCCAGTTTTGTTGCACGGCTGTGCGACCTTCTCAGACGGCGAATCGAGTTCCATCTACAGCATCGCCCTCCATCAAGGGAGCGGTATGATCAGCAGGCCCATCTCTGTGTTCTAGGTCTTTGTGTCTTCGGGCATGGGATCATGACATCCCCTGGCTGAAACGTTGACGGGATCCTCTTCAACGGGGGCATTCCCACACCGATCGCACGGAGTCTCCTGAAAAGAGCCTTCTACCCGCGGTATCAGACCTTACCTGTGGCCCAAATCAAATTTCGGGGTTCTTGAATCCTGGCCGGTGCCTTTGCACCTAGCTCGCAATTGCTGTCCTAGGTGGCTATTCAACAGTTTTAGGATAGCGAGCGCTGATCCCTCAGCTCAAATCGTTTTCAGAATCCTGACCTTAAACAATGCGGGTTCGCGTAGCTATTTTACTATTTTTGCAATAAAAGTGTCCTGAGATGCCAAAAAGAATTCACAATCGCGTCTTCTCGTTGGAAGATATTTCTCTTGTTTATACTCACGACCGATTAATCTCCAGAATCCTTCAACGTATGCCAGACATGGTGCCGAAAATTCTCGCCGGTATCAAACGAAAGGACTTCCTGCGAAGTCAAGCTTTCATTGACGATGTTTGGGTCGACGCTGTGTCGGGAAAGACATTAGACATGATCGATCCAGCAACGCTGGAGAAACTGGCTACATTTCCCGAAATGGGTACTGCCGACGTAAACAAGCCTGTCGAGGCAGCCGACAGAGCCTTCCCAGCGTACAAGCAAACAACAGCACGTCAACGGGAGAGCTGAGGTAGCCTATGGTGCGTCCTTCCTGGAATGGTCTGCCGGTGAGGCCGAATGGACGCACGGCGAGACCATCCCTTCAGCGAACTTGGCACAAAGAATCGTCAACATTAAACAGCCTATCGGCGTGGCGACTTGTCTTGTACCCTGGAATCTGCCGATCGCCATGATCATCCGAAAGGTCGGAGCCGCATTAGCAGCTGGTTGTACAACAGCGTGGAAGCCGGCGGGGAGACACCATTATCGTCACTGGCATTTGGCGAATCTCGCCAAAGAAGCGGGTTTCCCCCGGGAAGTTTCAACGTCATCACCACTCTCCATCGCGTGGCCGAGGTGGGCAAGGCGTTGTGTACCAACAAGCGGGTTCGGAAATTGAGCTTCAATGGGAGTTCAAGGATCGGAAGCTTCTAGCTCGACAACGTAGTAAAAATCTCACCAAGCTCTCCTAGAGTTGGGCGGAAATAGCTCGTTCATAGTGTTCGACGACGCCGACGTAGACAAGGCCGCCAAGGCCTGTCTCTGGCCAAGTTCCGAAACGGTGGCCAGACGTGAGTGACCGCCAACAGGATCTTGGTCCAAGCTGGGATCCACGACAAGTTTGTATCCGTGTTGATTGAGAAGGTGAAAGCCCTCAAGGTTGGCCCTGGTACTGGAGAAGGTGCAGACATCGGGGCTCTCACGCACGAGCGAGCGGTTGAGAAGGCAATGAAACATATTGTGAGTAAGTGGTTCAGCACAAACAAAACAACCTACGTGACGAAACTCTCAAAACTCACACAGATATAAAAGGCGCCGTCGAGCAAGGCGGTAAGTCGCTCAGGGGGGAGGCCCAAGTGATACCCAGGGTGGCTACTTTGTCCAGCCCACCGTCATCAAAAAATATGGCTCGCATTACCAGCACCTGGAAAGAGGAATCTTTCGCCCCGATTCTGGGTGTATACAAGTTCGAAACTGAAGAGGAAGGAATTTCCCTGGCCAACGACTGCGATGTTGGCCTTGATAGCTTCATCTGAACCTCGAGCATCGCGTGCGCACCTGGCGTGTTGCCAAAGCACTGCAAGTGGGAATGGTCGGCGTCAATTTGGGTCTGCTCAGCGCGGCAGAGAACCCGTTCGGTGGTGTGAAAGAGAAGAGCTATCATCGAAAGGATACTAGTACCTAGGGACTGATTCTCTACGAGAGGGCTGAGAGGGCTTAGAGGGTCCAGAGGGCGTCACGAGCCGTTAAATCGACCGTCTATAGAGCCCGGAAATAGTTCAAGAAATATTTAAAGAGCGTGGCGTTTCTGGGGACGCGTGGATCGACAAATCTCACAGTCTTCGACGGCTCCGCTTACAGTATGAGGCTAGATCGCGATGGATAATCTATTTGAGAGCTGTGAGGTGACTTCTTTGTGGGAATATAGTGTACATCTATGTCGCGGCGAGTTACACAGTATCCTGTTATGCGCCATAGTTGCCACATTCATGTAACGCGAGGTCCCAAGAGGTCCTAAGGGCAGTAACATGAAAGGAAAACTACAGACAAATGACGTTCAAATCCGTGACATTACATGTATTTTCAGGTCTTACTAGTAACCAATTGGATGATTGAGTCAAGTCGCATGTGGGGGCGAGGATAACGGCAAAGCTGGCTATCGTGGATGTCAGCCCATTTGTTCATTTCAATTCGTACCTCGCACATCTCGCATCCAACGTTTTCTTCGGTCGGCACCGAAGGGAGACGGCGAATAGTACTTTTTCGGTTACGATAAGTAACTTACGGTTAGAAAAGCATATATATATCTACCCCAGGATCCTCTTCTTGGATTAAAAGTCAAGTCTTAGAATTTCACCTTTGTTCACCCACTCGGAAGCGAATCATGCCTGCCATTACCTTGTCTAATGGCGCCGCTCCGGCGGCAGACACCTCCATCGACTTACCACTGTTCGACATCTCTCAAGAGTCACCCGCCCTGGGAAGAGAAATTGTCGAAGCCGCTGCAAAGCATGGGTTTCTCTGGATCTCCGGATCAGCAGCCTCATCGACGTCGTCGAACAGCGGGGACCGAGTCACATATGATCTCGATGCTTCCACTGTCCAGAATGTCTTCAACATCAGCAGCCGTTTCTTCAAAGAAGCCAGCGATGCCGAAAAATTGGCTTGCAAGATCACGAAAAATCGTGGCTTTGTCGACATGAAGGTCGAGAATTTGGACCCGCAGAGCCACGCGAAGGGGGATTTCAAACAGTGTTTCAACCTCGCAGAACCTGAGCCCGAGACGTCCGCATGGCGCCAACCACTACCGCCCCAGTTCTCAGAGCCTGACGCGGATGCTGCACTGCGCAACTTCCACGCGCGCTGCAGAGCCATGGCCACACGGCTTCTGCGCTTGATCGCCATGGGCCTGGGGATCGAAGATGCCAACTGGTTCATCCCGTGTCACGACCACTCACCACAAACAGTCCGCCTGCTGTACTACCCTCAACTACCCTCCAACACGGACTATAACGCCGAAGCCGACATCCGAGCCGGCGCGCACAGCGATTATGGCAGCATCACTCTCCTCTTCACGCGACCAGGCCAGCCTGGGCTGGAGATCCTGAAGGACGACGGCCGATGGGCCCGCGTGCCCGTTTCTCCGCCTGGATACCACGACCCTGCCTTCCCGCCCATCGTCGTCAACATAGGCGACCTCCTACAATTCTGGACAAACGGCCTCCTCAAGTCGACGGTTCACAGGGTCGTTTTGGTAGAACAAGAAGATGCGGCCGTGTCCAATAACGGACCTGCATCCACGAACCCGACCTCAACATCCAGCCCGTCCGGTCCCCTCGGAAGCGACCGCTTCTCCATCGCCGTCTTCGTGCAACCTGCCGACGAGACCGTTCTTGTCCCGGTTCCGTCACAGGCTGTCGAAGCCAGGGCCGCGGCGTTTCAAAAGACCCTCATCGGACGAGGCGGTGGCTCCGCCACGGCCGAAACACTGGGCAAAATGACGGCCGGGGATCACTTGCTCGGCCGCCTTCGAGCTACTTATGGCATTGCTGTGGCTGGGTGAAGAGAGGGGAAGATAGGTTGGAGGAAGCCGTGGAGATGATATATAGAAGCATGGTGTGGTGGAGGCTGGTTGCATGATCAGCCATTTTGGTCGAAGCGGCGGCAACCGCCACATATGGCGGGAAATTCTCCTGCAACTTGCATTGAACTGTACATATTTCGGGAGTCGGCAGGAATCCTAAACTATACTACGGTGCAAGCCGCTCACCAGATTCAAGCAATAAAAGTGGCCGAGCCGAACTCATGCGCGTCGTATCTCGTAGGGGGGAGGCAAGGAAGAGAAACAGGAGGATCACCGCAATGGTGGAGATTGGCTGCAATAGCGCAAGGTGTTGGCTAACTATCTAGCTGTCTATTTGGTGGTTGGGCTGTCTCTGAAGAAGAGAGAAAAGAGGAAGGGAAGAATGGATACGCGAGGCTAAGAAAGTCGGACCACGCCAAGCCGTGCCTCAGTGGGCACCTTCCCCACATGTGAAAATGTGCACCACTACAAACATAGCTCATTTTCTACTAGCAGACTAGGAACTATAGCGCCCTTCAAGTGGGTGGGATAGACCATTATGTGCCTATAAATTGTCTATTCTCGCTGGTATTGAGCCGCCATAACAGTTGAACCCCAGACTTATAGGAGATTAATGACGTAGTGGGTGGCCCTAGAATAGGGTCTAGTGGGCTCAGGTATTGTACATAGCAGCTCTCCAGGTCTTCAGAAACATCACCAGGCCTCCTCGTATTGATCACAGAAGAAGTTCTCAGTGTACAAAGCTGTGGTTGGAAGCTTTCCTTCAGCCCCCAAAGCATGCGCGGCTATCCATGACCAGGCCCGAGATAGGTGAGAAAGTAAAAAAGCCCCAGCATGACATGGAGCGGAACCGGTCTCATATCTACCTGCCTAGGTAGGTGCATATTACTCCGTACCTCAAGCGGCACTGACCTTGACAACCCCCAACGCGCGTCTCATTCGATGCTTGGACCAGCCTTGTCTTCAGTCCCATCGGAGCTCCCTGCCGCATGTCCACTAGGTCCCTTCTCCAAAAACTCCACTAGGTGTGCCACCCACAGACAAACCTCGCCCAACTGCTTCGTCTTCCCCCGACTCGCAACGCATTCCCTCGTGTAAGCCTCGTACATCTCCTCGTATCTGCTTTTCGCCTCATCGATCTGAGACCTTAACCACTCGCTCTCCCTCTCCGCCTTGTCTTTCGCCTCGACAAGCTTCTCGGACTTGGTCTCGAGGGCAGAGAGTCGTGGGAGAAGATCATGCTTCACCCACAAGAACAGCATGGTCGCGTGGTAAATGGAATCAGCCTTGTTCACCTCCGTAAGGGGGGACGCCGCAAGATTTTCGAGACCTTCGGACCAGTCGTGGAGGCAATCCTCGGCAAGGCGAGCAAAGGAAGACGGTGTCGCGTAGAATTTAGAGTTGGTCGATTTATTCTGGTTGCTGTCTCTCGTCACTTCCTGGTCGATGTCGTCGCCCAAGCCGCTGTCGGGTAGATCGGCCAGATCTTTCTCGAGTGTGGAACATTGCACATCGGCAAAGACGTCGGACGACTCGACGGCATGGCAGTGGCTGACATGCAGAGGATGCCAGTCTGGAAGTGAGGACATGCTTACGCTGACCCAAGGTGGAAATCAGTCGCAAGTGAGATACTGATATATTAGCTCGATTGGGCTTTAGAGGCGAGCTGTTGGCATAAGATAACAGCTTCCTGTCGTCTATGTTGCGGGTGGACGTGGTGAGATTGAAGACTTGGGATGAGATCGATGGGAAGACGACGCTTTCAAGGGGTTGAAGGGGCTCGGTCTCTTTTCCAAGCTATGCTCTAAGAAAGGTGTCAACAGATCCAGGCCTTCGTATGTAAAGTTGAGCAGGAGTTGTCACTAGAATGGCACGTATGGTTTGTCCCTCCGTAAAGGACGGAAGAATATAGAGAGATAGATGGTGAGGAATAACCTCTCAACTTCCGTTCACTGTGGCAATGTACACCCTAAATCTCCGTCCTCTTTATCGAGTATGCAGTTCGACGCCTTCTTGGCCATGCTCTGCCACATCTTCTGTTCCATCTAATATCTCGTTTTCATTACTGTAATCATCTGCGAAATTAGGCCTTCTATCGTCTTCGGCTACTCTCGTCCATCCACGAGCAGTCCGAGGACTCAGTCTCAGCCTGCCACGAGACAGGTTGTTGATCTTGTCTGCGATGTAGTCGCCAATCTTGCCCCAGAAATCGATGAGTCGATTGTGTTCTATTGCAGAGTCATCCCTTGAAGCCGCAGAATGCTCTTGTGCCTCGACCTTAAACTGGTATTTCAAGCAATCTTTCACAGTGACCAGCCCCTCAAGACGGCCATGGTGGTCGACGAGGATGACGCGTGGGCCCATCTTCTTGAAAAGTTCCAGCACTGTCTCAAGAGGTAGGCGGGGATGGACAGATATAGGAGCCGCATCAACGAATGGGCTGAAATCCACACTGCGTACTGTCGCCGAATCTAAGGTGACTGTTGGACTGAGTGGTGCGGGTGTCTCGGTGCCATCCTCTTGCTCGGCTACAAAAATGCATTTGGCATCTGAAGCCAATGTGCCCTGCCTTTTTGCTCGGTCGATCGCGAATTGAAGTTCGGTCCTCCCGATATAGCCCACAAGAATTTTCGAATCTGTGTCTTCCACAATCGGAAATCCAGAGTATGATGTGTCATCGAGTAATTTTCGTACCGCTTTGACTTCCATTCCCGTTGCAGGAAGCATGGTGATGTTGCGAGTCATGACTTGAGACACAGAAACACCAAAGGAATGTTCTTCTTTGTTGTCGAGGAATGGGAAGCCGCTGAACGAAATCATGCGATCTGCGATGCCGGTTTTGCTGAATCGATCTCCCACCGCTTTCGTTACACCGACCACAATCATTGTTGGAAGTATGTATGTCAGTGCCCCGGTAAGCTCGAACATGATAACGGTTACTGAAATCGTCAGATGCATGATGCCACTGAGCGCTGCGCCCGCTCCCAGAAAGGCGTACGTGCCTGGGGTGATGCATGGCACATCAGGTTGACAAGCGGAGAAGAATCCTGAATCAGGAAATGTCTCATACAGCCACTGTACAATCATGCCCAGCATGCGGCCAAATGAGGCTCCGATTGCCATTGAAGGCACGAATATACCTGCCGGTACTTTACACCCATAGGAAATGATGACAAGAAATATGCGCAACAGAGTCGCAACCAGCAAAGACCCAATGAGGGAGAGTCGATTCTTAGCCTCGCAAAGTCCGTTGTAGTCGTAGTCACCCTCACATTCTCGAAACAACATCTCCATCATCTCGGTCATGTCTATTCTGAGGAACATGTTGGGGTAGCAAAGAAGTGCCGTGGCGCCGGCCAGAATGACAGCTTCCGGAATGGCGAACTTGGACAGATATTTCTTTCTGAATGCTTGAGCTTTGAGATTCCACTTGATGACGAAGGCTCCATAAAGTCCACCGAAGATGCCAAGGATAATGTAGAAGAACATCTCAAAAAAGTGCCAGTCTCGATCGTATTTGACGGAGAACATGACAAGCTGACCAGTGCGGAAGGGGTTCATTGCACTCAACACGGCGGTCGCAACAAGAGCACAGAAGTAGCTCCTCCACAGCGTCTTGAGCGGAAAATAAGCCGCCATCTCTTCTAGAGAGAATAGCACGCCTCCAATGGGACTGCCGAATGCGACGGCCACACCAGCTCCGGCGGTTGCTGTCAGGATCTCTCGCGTTTTTGAAGCACTCCGCTTGTACTTGTCGAAGAATCGAGAGATGACGTTTCCCACGCACACTGCGTAATGTACACTCGGTCCCTCTTTGCCCACAGAGAGCCCGGAAGCGATGGCTAGGGGCAGGCAGATTGACTTGATGAAAAAGGTCCAGAAACCGAGAAATCCCTTCATGATGAAGCCGGCAATGATGCATTTGATCTCCGATATACCAGAACCGGCAGCGTATGGAGCGTACGACTTGACTAGATAGGCGGAGATGAAGGCCAGGAGCACGGCGAAGATGGCGTAGACGAAGTAATTGACGACGGTGACCGAAGTCCATCTCTTCCACTCATCACAGCCTTCCTCAGAGCCATAGCAGCAGAAGCCTTGGTTGAGGTACCAGGCGGTTGTGCAGTATCCCATCTTGATGTCGGACAACCACTCTGTGATGATATTCAGGGCAGCAGCATTGAGACCGATGACAATCCCAACCAGAGTGATGACGATCCAAGCCTGTGCAGCATCGTATGACTCCCACAGTTTGCGCCGCCAGCCCAAGACACCATCCCTCTCAAAGAACCTGGACTCTTTCCGCCGGGTGCGCCGCCGCAGTTGTTCTTGAGCCGCGTCTTGGACCCAGTCAATCGTGGTGAAATCTTCATATCTTTTTATCTCTGCAATCTCTTCTGTAATGGCATGTGCCGCCGGCGCAACACGAGGAGGAGTCTCGCCATTTTCGAGGCTGGACAGGGACGAGAGCCTCCTGGAAAGTCGCCTCGCTGAGACGGAGGGTCGACGGGCAGAGGCAGAGGCAGAGGCGGACGCGGAAGAGGAGACGCGCGAGGTCATAACATCAAATCAATGATCATGGCCGACGGAGCAGATCAAGATGGTCACATTCCCTGCGGCGGCTGGGCGATGGTGGACGAGAAGTAATCCCGACGTTGAAGCACAGCCTCACTACTGGGTAGCCTCGAATGTGCCGCAAATCCACCAAATCGCCCGCCTTGCCTATTTTGGACGCGCCTAGAACATGACTTATTACCACCACTTTGAATGTCTTGACGCGACTAGGATCCAAGACACTCTCTGGCAAATCGTTTATGTGTTCGAACAAAAGAACCCGACCGTCACAAATCTTGGGTATAGCAGGATCTCACACTTCTCCACGACTAGACGCGTCAAGCAGAGTCTACACTGATCTATTGCTCCCTCACACGCGTCTTCCATCACCCAAGAGAAACCCTCGAGGCTGTTCGAACAAGGTTTTTGCCCCTCGTTTTGTTTCTCTCATCGACACGCTCCGAGTTTTGAGGACCAAAGCGGAGGCCAATTTGGAAACCATCTCTCCTCCGTTGGATATATACCTCAAGAGAAGGGTAGCGCTGTCATTTTGTCAAGACTATGCCTTACAACAATGCTCCCATTGAACCACCAGAAGAGATAACTGGCTCGACCCCCCTTCCTCGTTAGTCATCACACGTATTTGCTATTGTTACAACGCTGCTAACGCCTGGGTCCAAGTCGCGCGAGTCAAGAAGATCATCGCCCAGGATGACGATATTGCCCAATGCTCTAATCCAGCCGCCTTCGCGATATCGGTCGCGACCGTGGGGTTCCCAGTTTCTTCATTGTCGGATCTTTGAGGGACTAATTCCTTCACCAGGAGATATTTATCCGCTACCTGACCGAGCAAGCACATAACGTGGTCAAGTCAGAACGGAAGCCAAGGAGGAATATTGCCTACAAAGACATAGGTAAGAAAACCGTCGAAGCATCAACCACCTGCACCGGCATATGCCATCCCTTCTGACAATGTGCAAAAGCCACGGCCGTTTCCAGAATCGACAATCTCGAATTCTTATCCGACACAGTGCCCAAAACGAAGACATATCGCCAGTTCAAGGAGGAAAAGGCTCGAGAAGCAGCAGCAGCTAAGGCTGCCTCCTCTGCAGGGTCACTAGTCAACGGCGTCGGCATCACCGGCGAAAATGGCAGCGTCTCGATCCAGACCATGATGAAGAACGGATACCAGAACGGCGCTGTCAACGGGGTCGGGGTCAATGGCACAATGCATGAGAGATCAGCCACCGCTCGTCCGTCGTCGTCCGGTCATTCGCGCAACCACAGCCATCCCGACCCGGTCAGAGATATCGAGATGAGTGGATAGGTCGCCAAAGATAATTTGAGAAGCTGCCATTTCCCCCCTCAAATGTATCGATCATAACCCAACCCACCTCGACCACCCTCTTGGCGGGCCCCGTGGAATTGCATCAACATGGACGTTCAAGGAAATTCCCTGCATTTTTCGCCAAAGGGGCGTTTATCGAGCCCCCAAAAATTCGCGACATGATGAGTCGAATCGCATTGGCGGAGCTAGAAGGGCGCATGGTATCTATCGGTCACTACGAAGCAAAGCGCCTCGCGATGATGTCCGCGCCACTAGCAGAAGCATGCGGTAAGAGGACCGATCAAACCTTGGAGGCTGAGCCCCTGTGCATCCATCAGTGTACCGGTTGCAACACAATTACAATATACATTAGTTATGGATCTATATGCTCCCTAGCTGCGTCCTGCTCTACTTGGACTTTGATTTTCAACCACACCACATCCCTCGGCCGACATCGATGTGTATTGATCTCCCTCTAAAGCAAACACAACATTATCCAACCTATTCCAGATCTCGTTCCTACTCAACGAGCAGAATCTTGTCTTGCTTGTGCGCTGTTCCCCGCCGATGCTCGGATGCGAAACCCATACATAATAGCTCGAGTGACGTGCGTACACCCCGCTAATCGAGCAGGCTTTCCAATCCATGCTGCAAAGTTGGCCGATGTCCCTCCAGCGTTGGCGTCTGATTCTGGTTTGGGGGCCATACCATTTGTCATTGGGGACTCTTTTGGGCTATCCTTAGATGGAGGTGTCCTCCGTACCTTGACCATGGGCTGATCATGAGAATCGTCTTCGTCTTCTTCGCTTACTTGTCCCTCAAAGGCATCGGACAAAAACTAATATGGCACCCAGAACAGGGCACGGGTGAGAAAGTCTTCAGGCCACCATCTTCTCCGTGCCTGGCCGCTGTTGGTGGAGCCCTTTTGTGAACAGAAGTCCAGCGGCGGTAACCAGAGAAATCTTGAGCTTGGGATATTTGGTAGTCGTGGGTTTCATCTTGAGTTTTCAGCCTGGTGATTTGAATTCCTCCAAACGCGGACTAAATAGAAGCATGAGTTCCGGGCGTTGGGGATCGGGTTGATCCTGATGGGAGCCTTGGGATATCAAAACAATTGGGAAACAATATGATGGTATCCGTGCCTCTCCAGAGACCATCCGTTAGCATCAGGAGAGTCATTCGTTTGGGCTTCCAACTCTTGAGGTAGGGCATCGAGTACCACCCCGACGTCGCGGCCATGTCTGGATTTACCTCTTTGGCGGCATTCGAGGGATCCTTCTGTTTTTTTTTTTCTCCAGTAAGATTGGCAAACTCTTTCGCCGCTTGCTCTCCCTTCCACGTGTATGATTTCTGGGGCACGCTTGTGACGACAAAGGTCTAGGCCATTATCATCAAGAGGAGCTAGTTTTATGGCTAGTGTTTCTAAGCATGGGTTGCTGCTTTCTAGAAGCATACTGGATCCGTCATCGACGATGAATTTCTAGCGATTTCATAGTCATGGGTCACATGGACTTTCCTTTAGTTAGTCGAGTCCTTCTGACTCTCTTTCCTTGACACTCAGATAGACACTTTATACAGAAACGGCTTTTCGACCAACTCTCGGTCCTTGTGACCGTCTTCCGCCTGCTAGCATGGGTCTGTTATGTGGACATCAGTCATGTCTGGCTGGGCCTCGTCAACGGCCCGAGATGCCGTCTTATCGAAACTTGGATGTTGGCAACCTGGCATGTCGGGTGACGTTTCTTGCGGTGGCATTGTGCCGCGAGATCTTTCGGCTTGCAATATACGTCCTCTATTTTCCAAATATCTCTCTCTGTCATTATTGTTTCTGGCTTGCTCGCCCGAGCTCGCTCTGGCGAGAAGCGCCTTATCACTCAGGGACTCACACAATTGTGTAGAGATGATTCGCTGTCTGGGGTCTTCCAACAGCATCTTCATCTCCTCAAGGTCGAGGACTTCAGAAGAGATGGTGTCTGACCTACGAAATATGCTCGGTAGACAGTGGTGCCATTGAGTAACCTCAGGCAGCACTGTCCTGCCATTGCGGAAAGCATCATGGGCTCTGGAAAAAGCTGCCAGTCTTGTGATCTTTCTGCGCGCCTTGTCGAAGGCGTTTGATAGCCTCATTTCTGATAAAATCGTACTAGAGAACATCCTGGGACACATGGCCCAGAGCTAGTAAATACACCGAGCCCTTCCCACAGCCTCATTGTAGTCTTAAGATTGGTCTATCTTGTTTCTATCGCTCGCCTTTTGAGGTTCATGCAGCCGCAGCCTGGCTTCAATAAGCACATTCTGATATAACGCTCATTTCCCACTCCTCAATCTGCAAAATCCCCATTGCGACTTCTTTGATGTCCTCCTTGACTCCATTGTCGACATGCTGCCCAAGAACGTGCCCTCGGAACCATCGACCTGCTCAAAAAGTTTCAAAACTACTTAAACGGCTCTTGGAGACAAGACACAACTTGCGGTCGTCACTATATCAAGACCAACACACTCCAAGAATGGATGATATCGGTAGAGGAAAGACAGACAGGCTCAGCCACCAATCCAGAACGACTCCCCGATGAAGTACGGAAATCTAGACGTAACTCGACCTTCAAATTTGCCGCTGAAAAGGCCTCGAGGGGCGGCTATGGCGCCATCATCGTCTTCAGTATCCCCCTCGATATCGGCTATGGGAATCTCCTGGACTTATTCGTCAATGCCAGTATAGCTGACGCAAACCTGAACACCACCTCCACAGGACATCACTACAAGCCCCTATCACAGGACTTGAGTGACGCGAACGTTGTCAATGAGGATGCTGCTATGGAAGCCTTTAAGAAAAGAAATGGTGTTTCTGCCCGGTGGTTCTTAAACAGCAAATGCATGGGAAATTTGTTGGAGGATACATCTTTCCAAATTGCAAGCGTGAGGCAGTCAATGACAATGGAGGACAACGCAGGGGTCTCAGGTTCTAGTTCCGATTGATTGTATGAGTGAGGATTTGATGCTATTTCTTCGATCTTCTACGGCTGAAGACCCAGACCTAGGACAGATAAGCCGGCCTTTCCACTGGTCGACGTAGGGTGATGGCTGACGTTTCGACAGTGCTATGAGTTGGCATTGAAATCCTATGACCGGGGGGAGCGGGAGATATTCGAATTGGACCAAAAAAAATAGCGTTTGCCAACCCCCCCCCCCCCAAAACCCCAGAGAATCAAAAAGGTATAGTTCGATATATCGGCTACTACACTCTCGAGGAACAGCCCAAACGCTGCACCTGCAACATTATGCTGGAATATGGAGAACTTAAACTAGACGACTCCTTTGCAGACGAATTCTTCGGCTCTCTGGGGCCGGCCCTTGAGATCATCTTGTTCTGGGAGTCGTATTCAAGGCAGCAGAGGCACTTGAACGGATCTATAATCTCGTGGGACGGTGAGACTCAGGAGTTCTACCTCGTATGGGTATGCCTCAATCTGCGGTTCTCAGTGACTGCCCCTGAATGCTGACCGCTACAGTTGGCATGCCAATGTAAAGCCGGACAATATCTTGAGGGTCCAGGGCGAGTTTAAACTAGTAGACTTCGTCTCTATTAAATTTAAGAAAGGCCGTCAGGAAATTTCAATGAAATCAATGGATGACGGTATCGAGGCCTTTGATATGATCGATGCTTTGTATAACGCTAGAAAGACCCTAGTCCTCACTTTGCTGTTGCATGTGCCTCTGAAAATAGATCGGTCCAGCACGCACTCTCCTCGGCCGAACCATTGATATTTGGTCCTTCGCATGTGTTCTATTCAGAGCAGTGACATGGGTCATCCTTGGACAGCAGGAGATACTCTCGTACGATATTCTCAGAAGGGAGGCTATCAAGCGCCTTCGGCAAGGCGCACAGAAAGACCACAAGGCTGGCAGCTTTTTTTTTCAGAGCCCATGATGCTTTCCACAATGGCAGGACAGTGCTGTCTGAGATTGTCGTCGCCAAACATAAATGGTACCACTTGTCTCCCTATTCTGGGGATGAAGACCTTCGTCCCTCCGTCGGGGGCGTGGCAGGCGGTTGCTGGGTACCATTAGCTGCTGTGCCCTCGCGTCTCAGTCATCGCAACGCGTCGTTGTCCTCCTGGCCTCAATTAGCACATAAAATCTCTCTCGCTGTGGTGCCTCGAGCAACACGGCTAGCGACATATGCAATGGTGCCAATTCTTACATCACTTAGAGGTTCTGGCACGTCAAAGATCCATTTGTCGTGCACCTTTGAGACCGCAAAGTATTAGACCGGCACAGGCACGTATCCTCCTGAGAAAACATACACGTTATCCGTTAAATTAGAGCCCAGGATAGCGTGATTGAGGGAATTGCCGCTCTAGGATTCCTTTGAGCTTTTCCAAGTCGACTTGGGTTCGATTGCTTGGGCCGAGTATCTTAGATCTCATCTGTCACAGAACGAAACACGTCTCACAGCGTGCATCGAATCGGCACGGGCAACGGTGTTCATGGCTTGTCCTTTCCACGCAGATTGATTCGGTCATTTCCAAAACAAAGCAAGAAAAGGACCCCAAACACGAACTTCACAAGGAAGTATATGGAGTTTGCAACGGGATGACGGCGTCCTCGTTCAGCTACACACCCTTCATCTCGTGATCGAGGGGTTCTGTAGCCACTCAGTTGCAGACCCTTGAATGACTAGCAACTAAGCTGCTCGTGCCGCCAAGTGATACTATCCTTGTTCTTACATCAAGGACCTGGATATATCAACTAGTAGGAGCTGGAAAAGAATTATTACCCTACGTAGCTCTGATGGCTATGACATCCAAAACAGGGACGAGAGGTACTGCTTGGTTCGGGTGAAGAGATAACCAGAACCCGCGATGTCTCGAAGATTTCATCAAACCTTGGCATCTCGACGTGGACAGCGGCAATATGGTTTCGGTAGGAGCGCACGGCTCAGGAAACTGGTCTATCTTGAACGGTTGACCTTTTGGCCCGCGAATGATCCTTCTGTAGGTAATCACCTGTGAGGTGTGACGTGCTACTTGGCTCACTAAAACCTTTCCAGTCAGTTCGGCGGGTTTTTCAACGGACCGACGTTAGAAGTTGTTCTCGACCGACTTGAGCCCGGCATCACAGCTTGTGAAGGTCTTTTAGCTGCCTGAATACCGAGTTTTCGGGATAGGAGCATGCTGCGTTGAAAATGTTCAGACACCTTTAAAATGAACCGCATTAGACTCCTCTTCAACGCAAGATTTCTTATTGAGAATCATGAGGTGCCTGTTGTAAGGAGCACGCAATGAGCCAAAGCCAGGCGTGTTGAGTGTTGAGGGGCGTAGAGCATTGAGGGGCTGGAGACGATGAGTCCAAGTGAGTGCTACATTTGGCCAATGCTTGGTCATGTGACATGGAGCTCCTGACCAATTAGCGTCGATGCAAAAGATCATTTCTTGGCGGGCTCTCTGGCTCCTTCTCAATTGCGCCTCAAGCAACAAGCTCCAACATCTCCTCGAGCTTCGACTTCGACAACCGCAACCTCTCTTCTCTTCCTCATCTCCAAGATGCGTCCAGTCACGGCATCGGCAGGCTCTACCCTGCGCACTTGGACTCGGCACAGCCTTCCTACCAGCTCCGCATCCTCGGCTTCCTCCCAATCCTCCCGTCTTGCCATCACAGCTTCAAACATCCCCCAAAGACGACTAGAATCCTCCGGAGCAGAGACAGCAGGTAGCTCCAGCTTCCAAAGCCCATTTGGCAGCGCGCCCAAGTATGATACGCGCAAGATCCCCAGCTTCAAGACATACGAGTCCAAAAATTCCGAGATCACCAATCGAGTCTTCCAGTATTTCATGGCCGGATCAATGGGGTTGTTGGCTGCTGCGGGAGCGAAAAATACCGTGCAAGGTATAGACATCCGAGTTTGAGCTTTACATACACGACTCCCGAACCTACCACACTGAAGCGGCGAATTTGTGGTGCAAAGCTAACCGAGCTACGATGCTGCACAGACTTTCTAGAAAACATGTCCGCCTCCGCCGATGTGCTGGCCCAAGCCAAAGTGGAAATCGACTTGGGCTCCATCCCCGAAGGCAAGAACGTGATTATCAAATGGAGAGGTAAACCCGTGTTCATCCGTCACCGTACTGAGGACGAAATCAAGGAGGCGGAATCTGTTGAGTACGTCATGGTCTCCTTTATTCTCCTACATCTTCACTCTATGAAAACTTTTTACGCTGACCCATCGCTCACAGCCTCTCGATCCTCCGCGATCCTGAAAAAGATTCCGACCGTGTCAAGAAACCCGAGTGGCTGGTCATGCTGGGCGTCTGCACACACTTGGGGTGCGTCCCCATTGGGGAAGCGGGCGATTTTGGTGGTTGGTTCTGCCCTTGCCATGGGTCGCATTATGATATTTCGGGACGAGTGAGGAAAGGACCCGCGCCGTTGAACTTGGAAGTACCCGAATATGATTTCCCAGAGGAGGATAAATTGGTCATTGGTTAGGAGAGACACCAAGATTGAAAGAGAAGCGGCAGACTGACCATGTTTCCGTGGCTGGCGTGTGGCACCTGTCAAGAACGAAGATATCAAGCCGGAGGCGAGTTCTAGGACGCAAGAGAGTTACTGTACATATTAGACGGCAAGACGCTGGGAGATGCCGGACACAGGCGATGGGACAACATCAAAGAGTATACCTTTACGAGCTGTGTGTAGGGAGCAGGATCGACCAAAAAAACCGCCCATATATTTATTTCTGTTTACCCACATCGCTATCTTGTCTATTCCGGCCCTTCATCTAGCGAAGCTCCTTCGTTCAAGTATCTCGCCAGACAAGATATCAGAACACACCACTAGATCCAAGCAGTCTCCCTGAACGCCGGACCAGGTGGCAGAAAATCCAAATCCAGGCCCAAGTATGGCGGCTTTTTCTTTTGTTCCAGAGCAAGCTCCATTTATACAGGTAGAACGGTACCGATAGGCATTTTGTACACATCTATTGGCCAACTAGGTAGAAGTCCTCGTAGGCGTTGCAATGATCAAGCATCTGATCTATGGTCTGAGATCGGAAATCTGGATATCATATCTTTGTTAGGCAGCCATCTCTTCTTTCTATATCGTATCGTACAGTCGCCCGCTAGCCCGCCCACATATGTAGTAGAGACTATCTGTAGTATGTAGGTATCAACATAGCAAAGTGTAGGTATCAACATAGCAAACATGTCTTCGCTCCTGACTACTCATGAAGGGCTGCTTTCTAGCCGAATCATTCATGGATGAATGGATAAATAGACGCATGGTGGACGGGACAAATATATACAAACATGCCTTGTGGCCCCTCACACAAGCTCCCAATAACCCACCCTGAGCCGCTAGATGTATGTACACATGCATACACTACCGGGGTCGGAGGAGTACAAAAAGGAGGCCCATGATTGCCATTCCGCCTGCCATGCCTTCCATGGCCACGGTGGTCAATTCCCTCTGTGAGACGAGGATCTTGTGGTCGTCGCTGAAGAGTGCTCTCAGAGAGTCTTCGTACCAAGCCAGGGGAGATTCAGGAGATGTCCAACGCGAGGACCCGTTCACGGGCTGGGGTGACTTTTCTTCGGTTGGGACAGCAAGTGGGAGAGTATCGGGGGAGACTGCGTGCAGAGTTCCTTCAGCAGCGAGTTCTTGTGCTGTTAAAGATTCGGCGACTGCTTCAATGTTCGACAATGGAGGTGGCGTTAGAGCTTTCTCTTCAGATGTTGCACCGGTAACAGCATCGACGATCTGTTCCGCAATATTATCCGCTCCTGCCTCGACTTTCTCGCCCGGTGTTAAGCTCGCTGCAGCCTCCGCAGTACTTTGATTCGGCCGTAGTGCTGCAGTTTTGGTCTCTTCCTCCCTTTCTTTCAATGCTAACTCCACTTTCTCTTCGAAGCCCTTCACCAAGCGCTTCCTTCGCCATGGTTCCAAGACGACTTGAAAGATCAGGAACAACAATACATTGATTCCCATCAGTCCCCATGTGCCCCAGGTGGACATCTGCCTTATTTTATCACTCCAGATTTGTTCTTCATGATACCTAGCCAATATCGCCTTCGCAAGTTTCGTGGACGCCTCTTCATACCGGGCTTCTGCGTCACTAACTTCCTTTTGCGCAGCGGTTTCGGCTTGCTCGTTGGCGTGATCGGACCGATATAGACTGGTGAATCTCTCCAAATCTGCGGGCGACCACGTATGTTTTCGGTGCAGCAAATCATTGACTTCGCGTTGCGTCGTACTCCGCTTAGCTATTGCTTCGCTGTAGTGGGCCCGAGCGTCCTTCACGGCTGCACGACATTCCTGGACCACAGATTCTTGGTGTTCTATGTCAGTCTTTAAGGCTTCGATCCCGGAATAACCGGTTAGGTCGTTTAAGCGGCGAGAGGCTGTAAAGACGTGAGTTTGGAAGTTGTCCATGAAGTGGGCGAAACGTTGTTGAAGGTCGGAGTAACGAGAGGAGATGGCGGACGGAAGCGTTTCACTAGAGGAAGAGGGCTGTGCCGGTTCTGGTTCTGGTTTATCGGGAGCCGTGTGTGCCTCATGTTTGGAGGTATGTACTATTGAGGCGGACTCAGGGATGGTGTGGACAATAGTTTCTTCTTGAGGATGCTTGTGCTTATCTTGCATGTGCGCCGCTGTGTCTGCTCTTGACTCGAGACCTTTGTCTATTCGACTCTTAGCATCCTCTATTTCCCGGCCAATCTCAGGCTTCTTTTCGCTATAAAACCGAGCTTGAACAGCTATTCGAGGTCGTTGCCGCGTCCATGGCTGTGCACTTGGGCGCATCACGGGGGGGAATGGACGGGGCCATGTGAGAGATCGGTGGACAGGCTTGGCGGCTCGAAAGGCGGACCATAATGTCTGGGACAGTCGTAATGGAGCCTGCTGCATCGCGAGCAGCGATCTGATCTTCACACCCACCGAGGGCTCGAGGACAGACTGACCTGTCAGTCGATGGGCAAAGGAAACAGCTTCCATTGATCGGCGAGATTTTTGCAGCGAGGAAGGTTTGCCGGCTCCGAAAATCGCGGCACCAGAGGGCCGCGGCAGTTGATCCACTGACGTCATAGCTGTAGTGTGAAGTATTACGTCTTGGTAGCGCAGTCTTGGCCGGGATTCCTCTTTCAGCCATGCCACCAATCCATCCTTCCCGCCAAAAAGAAAACGGATCCCAATGCTAGCCATCTTAGAGGGAAGTCTCGAGCCTTGAGCCATCGCCTGTGCCCAAGCACCCAAAACCATCCAACCGCGATCGGGCTTTACTGCACCAAATCTTATTGCCCTCAATCCTCTTCTATCGGTCTTGTCCCGGCTAGGTGGTCAGAAGACGGCAATTGAGACCGACAGATATCGATATCTGTCACCGTTCAATAAGAGCCTTTTTTTTCCTGCACTGAGTCTCTATTCCTCGTCCGCCCACTGGCCCTCTCGACCGCCTCGTAGACAAACTCTTCAAGATGCCCTTCCCAGAGACGCTGGAAGCCAACCCTCGGGTCATATTCTTCACCGACTTCGACGGCACAATCACCCTCCAGGACACCAATGACTTCATCACAGACAACTATGGCATGGGCTACGACCAGCGGCGCGAGCTCTTCCGCGCAGTCATCAACAAGACGGACACGTTCCGTAATACGTTCCAGCAGATGGTGGACTCCTGGAACTTACCGTTCCCCCGCGTCCTGGAGATCCTGAAGGAGAATATCAGCTTGGACCCGGCATTTAGAGACTTTGTGCTCTGGGCCCGCGACATGAAGGTGCCCGTCATCGTGCTGAGCAGCGGCATGGCCCCCGTGCTGGAGGCCTTGTTGAAACACCTGCTGGGCGAAGACCTGATGCGGGATCTGGAGATCGTCGCGAATGCGACGCAACTAAAACCACCTGAAGATTCGCTCGACAAGCCCGGTGGCTGGACGATAAAGTACCGTGACGACTCGGGCTTTGGACACGACAAGTCTCTCACCATCCGCCCCTATGCGGACGCCATTGCCAAAATGCCCGCGCAGGAGCGGCCCACCCTTTTGTACGCGGGCGACGGCGTCTCCGACCTGAGTGCCGCAAGGGAGACGGATCTCTTATTTGCCAGAGAAGGAATGGATCTGGTCACGTACTGCGAGAACGAAGGGATCCCGTTCACCGAATTCAGCGGTTGGGACAGCATTCTCGAAGAGACAAAGGACATCTACGAGGGAAGGAAGACGGTCAAGAATCTGGCCGAAGAGGGCTTGAGGAGACACCGGACCAATTCTATGGAATCAAATGCTATGCCAAAGCCTACGATAAGGTGAGCCGTTGACCGGTGAATTGCGGCGTTGCAGGCCTTGACATGAATGGGACTGTGGGCCGCAGCTTACAAGATTATGCGGGCGAAATCATTAGACGATTTCGGGATTAGATGGCAAAGACTAACGGCAGGATAAAATAGAATAGACAGCGATAGACTTTAAATATATATAGAACAGCTGCATTGAAGAAATCAAGGCGAAAATATATTCGTTGCCGTGACCTTGAGACCGAATAACGCCGTTCTTCTCTGTCTCAACAATACGGGAATGTGCCGTTTTGCCTAGAACCATCAAGAATGCTTTCCGTCATACTCGTTCAGGGCCCTCCTCAATATCTCCTCGTCCCTGGGCACCACCCTGACCGTGTACCTGCGCGGGACGCTCACAAGCTGCGTGGGATCCATGACGCCTTTGACGGGATGCGTCTCGACGACGCCGGGGCCCCCATCGGCGGGGCGCAGGTCCGTGATCTCGAACGCGCTAATCAGCCTCAGATAGATGGTGTACATCTCTCTGTTCGCCAGCAGACTGCCGGCGCACATCCTGTAGCCCAGGCCGTACGTGAAGAGCGGCGCGTCCGGATTCTCGAGCCAGCGCTCGGGCCGGAACATGAAGGGGTCCGACCACACTTCCGGGTCCATGTTGCAGGCCCAGGCGTTGAGGAACACTACGCTCCCTGACGGGATCTTGTGGCCGTTATACACGACGTCCTTGACGGTGGCGCGGGGCAGACTGAGGCGCAGCACGGTGTAGTATCTTAGCAGCTCCCTGACGAGTGCCACGATGTAAGGGATGGATTGGTCGTCGTTCGCATCGCAGAGGATCTGGTCCTGTGGGTAGACCTTGCGAATTTCCTCGAGTGCCTTCTGTTGGATCTCGGGCCGATGGGCAAGAAGCGCCATCGACCATGCGACCAGGGTCGTTAGAGTGTCCAGGCCGCCTGACAGCATGGTAAGGGAGATGGAGATGAGCTCTTCGGTGTTGAGCTTTGCTTCCTTGTCGAGGATGACGTTCGCCTGAATGCAAGGTTGATGGATTCCCTTTGCCATTCTGTCGTCTAAATCATCGTTGAGTTTCTTCAGGTATACGTCTCTTCTGCGCCGCATGTCGCGGGCGTGGGCACTTCCAAAGTTGAACGGATTCAGTCGTAGAAGCGGGATATAGTCCTGCAGGTTGCCCGTGGTGGAACGAAATTTGGACACCTCCTCCTCAACGTGCGTAATTTCACCAAAGAGTTCGTCGTTCTGGGATGCCATACGGGTCCCCCAATTCAAGGTCAATGCTAACGATAGTGAAAGGCGTTGAATCATTGGCATCGGGTCCACCGGTTTTCGTCCACCATCTCCGTAAGTGAGGAATTCGTTCAAGAAATCCCTTGTCTCGACATCGATGTGCGGGATGTACGTTGCCACACTCGGTTTATTCAGGGCGGATGCTGCGCCTTTTCTTCTCCTCTTCAGAGATTCTGAAAATGGCGATGTTCCTATCGTCGTCCCGCTTGTAGAACTCACCACTTTATGAAAAGTGTAAAATTCTGGCCTGGAGGCGAGTGCTTGAGAATTGGCCCCGAAAATCTCGCGCGCGGCTTTGCTGCCGTTCACCACTATCACGGGGACGTTGCCCAGCATAATTTGATATACATAGCCGTATTTTTGGGACCATAGCCGGTATTGCTCTGCTGCATTAACACGGATTTGATGGATATTACCGATCATGGGCAGCCCCGAAGGGCCATCAAATCCCGGAATGCGGGCTTGGTGTCTTTGGATCTCGGTGATAAGTAAATATAGAAGAGCAGAAAATGCTGCGAAGTATGCGACGAATGCTATGGGTGATTCTTGGGCATGGCCAATTAGAAATTTGAGCGTTTTGTCAATCATCTTGGTATGCCTGCGAATGGTCAAGGAGCAACAAAAGGAAAGAGAGAAACAGAAAGATGGGGAAAGATGTACACAACTGAAGACTGAACAAAGAGACCTCCGGTATATATCACCCCTTCCCTTTCACACGAAAGATCCACCCCGGAATTCTGATGTGAGGGGGACGGCGCCGGGACTGTGGAGAGGCACGGCGACCTCCAACCACGACGCAACCACATTCCGTGGTGTTTTTGTGGAGAGCGGAATCAACACCGCAGCCTGCAGAGCCGGTGATCATCGTATGAAGCAGGCCCAAGATATGGGAACCTCGTTCATTGGATCAGTCTTCAAAGTCCAGCCAAGACTGAAAAGAATGTGGAAGCCATTCCGACTGAAAGCCCCTCTCCGCAGGCTGGAATCTGCTGCAAAATCAAGGCATTTTCGAACACAAGGAGTGAGCCCGTTCTATTAAATTTCCAACGAATTGCGCTATCCTGTCAGATTGGTCCCTTGCAAACCATGGTGATGTTTCGAGAGCTGCAATACCCTGAGCATTGCCGGTGCTCAAGGGACATGCGACGGCAGATCCGCTCTCACCTCATTCTTGCGGAAACGATTGTAAGAATTTGGTCCCTCCAACATCATGATCAGTGATTCCAGGAATCACATTGTTCCAGAACAAGTTACCCATGTTTGGCGTACAGAGCTCCTTGTAAAGTCCACCCTCTCGATCGAACTTGATGCCGAAATCGGTTCCCTGCTCGCTACCCTCGATTTTCTTGCCAATCAACGCCTCTTCGTCAATGGTGCCTGTCATGAGGACTATCATGTCGTTCATTCCAATAATTCGCCAGGTAAGGCCGCTTCCGCATTGAGAACAGAAAGACCGGACAGCTGTTTCACTTGATTGGTATTCCTTGTAAGTTGGGCTTTTGGTGATGTCGTCAACAAGTTGAGACGGGTGGATGAGAAGGTCATGAGAGATCAACGCTCCAGTCCATTTGCGACACATTGTGCATTGACAGGTGGCTGCCTGGGGGCCATAATTAGAGCTATAGATCGTAGCGGGAGCATGCATCATACATTCGCCGGCCAAGTGCCCTCGGGAAATGTCAATTTGTATCTGATGGAGCCGCAGAGACATCCGCCCGAGACTGATTCAGGCACGGAAGCCATTGCAAGTGATGTATCCATCGAAAAGCACTATCTTGATTTGATAGATGTTGTGGAGCTACCGACCTGTGGCTGTTGATGAATATCCGAGTCTTGCGGTAGTTGAGGGTTCTTTTATATTCAAGGTGCTTTCACCTTCAACACAAGCATTGATGGAGCCCGTTAGGCAACGACGTTGCTTGCTCTTTTCATACCCGATGAACAAGTCGGAGCCAAGAAACGCCGTTGGGGGATTTCCTGCGTTTGGAATCCGAATGGCTGACAAACTGGACCATTTGAGGCAAGATGAACGTATTTGCTAGTAAGACATGGTAGGACCCCAGGGCATGACAAGTATACTGGGAGCATATCAAATTGACCAGTCTTTGGACAAGGCTTGGCAGTGGCTTGCCAATTAGGCATCCAAATCTCCCACTGCTCTAATTGCTCGAGCCATATAGATACGGGGTGTAATTGGTACCTTGCCGAAGTGTATCTTGTAAGCAAATGTAACCTGGCCATGTCGATTGGTGCTGAACCTAGATGCGCCCAGCCACTGCTTCAGCCATCTTCACTGTGCTGTTCGTATAATGTTTTTGGCCGAATACGTTGCAAGGTGTTATTTTGCTGCTTTCCGGCTTCTCCTGGAACCTGGCACCGGTTCGGACTTTCCCTGCGAGGACGCACCGTTTGGCACAGATTTATCAGCGCTCTTGTTTTGTACAGTTTCCTTCTTTGCTGCAGCCCTCTTTTTGGCGCCGATCTTTTCCAACTTCTCGATCTGCTTCTCACTGAACTCCCATAGTTTCTTTGCGACTTCTTCTTTTTTCACTTCCAGTCTCAAAGGCTCGTATTGCCTGCATTCTTTGATCAACTTCCCACCGGCGCCTCGACCATATTCAGCGTCCATGGCGGCCAAGAGGTAACTCTGAGCACCCTGAATCGGTGATTTGAGAACGAGCCACCATAACGGCCAAGTGATCAAGTAAAGGAATAAACCCCAAATTAACCCCCCAGACAGCCAACGGCGCGTGCCGGGCGTGCGGCAATATCCAGGGTCGATTATGAACGCTCGAGCATTGTTGAGTTCCTTGTCCGGTCTTTTGTAGGCATCGAGGTGTTTTTGGAATGCATACGCAAATGTCATCACTGCCAATTTGCTTCGACCGTACGAAGCGCTTCCTGCTTTGGAAGCTGTATCTGTGGCGTCGAAGTCCAAATTTCCACCGATGTAGCTGCTGCATGTACTGAACAGAATTCTCACGTCTCGATCTGGAGGTTGTGCACGAATAGCAGGCGAGAGGATACTTAGTAGATGGAATGTGCTGAGGTAGTTGATCATCCACTCGGCTTCCAGTCCGTCCATTGTCTCCTGAGGCGTACCGAAGTAAGGAGTCATTACGTTGGCACAGAGAATGACCATGTCCAATCTTCTCGGAGGTGCGTTGTCCACCCATTTCGTGGCAAAGAGTCGTATTGAGTGTAGCGAAGAGAGGTCGACTTGTTCGGCATATATCAATTCATTATTGGTAACTGTGCGCATATCTTCAATGTAGTCGACGAGAAAGGGATCCGAGGGGGCATGATGGGTCAGGAGAATGATCTGGGCTCCGCGTTTAGCCAGTTCTTGCACAACGGCGGCGCCTATGCCTGATGTTCCTCCCTGCACACTGGGTGTCAGAAAGCATGCAAGAGATTTGGGGCCTTGCCCTCTTACCGTGACCATGACCACCTTGCCATGCATAACTCGTTCTGATCGACATTTCGCTCCGCCAAAGTACAGTTTCAACAACGTGATGACACCTACTATTGCTGCACCCTTTGCCACCGTCCAGACATAGGGGATGTTGGAAAGACCCCTGCCAAAGCCCTCTGCCAGCAGAGGAATAGGCATCGTTTCTGAGCTGTTCAAAATGGAAAAAGTGGTGAAGGAATGGAAACAAGGGAGGACCGAAATGCCCAAGTTGGGTTGCGAGGAAACTCCGCTCATTCCGCCTATCGCAGGCAGCGGGTGCCTGACAAGTCAGCGCCACAATGTCCTACATATTTATCTCCCCACCGAAGAAATCTTTGACTTTTTCAACATCTTCCCAGAGAACCATGGCAGGGAAAGATCAAGACTATTACCTGCCGCTCCAAGATCAGCGTGTCTTCGGCGCCGGAATTAGACGCAAAAAGATCAATTTCGTTCCCGCTTCAACGGCAGATTCACAAACAGGCCCTTCGCACTCATCGAACTCGACAAGCGCAGGCTCTCGGTACCTCTCCATTGTTTTAGCACAGAGCAGCCAAATCCTGGATGGCGGCACTCGTCGAGCTGCAGGCCAAGAGTCTGGAGTGGACCAGACTCAAGGCATATGTGCAGTCTGCCATCAACCCATTCCCTCCACCGACAAACGATCTACGAGCCACGAGTCCTCAATCGCGCATCAAGTCTGCCTGAAACATTCCCATCCACCGTCTAGCCTTGATCGCGAACGTGTTGGTCTGAGATATTTGTCAACTTATGGCTGGGATCCTGACTCTCGACGAGGGCTGGGTGCAAGACAAGAGGGAATCAGAGTGCCTATAAAGGCGAAGGCGAAAAATGATACAGTAGGTCTGCGAGAGACGGTCGACGAGGACGAAAAGAAGTTGGTCAAGAAGAAGATTAAAGTACCGAAAGAGGACAAGATTGTGAAATTGAGCGCGAAACAAGTCCGCATCAAAGACGATGAAGCAAAGAAGCGGGGTGAGAAGTTGAGACAGATGTTTTACGGCCCAGACCTGGAGAAATACCTAGGCCCCGACAATTGACAACCCATCATATTCGACTCGATGAACCTGGCTCAAATTGTATATGGACAGAAGTCGGCCTCTTCTCATTCAGTGACAAAGACGGGATTACATGACTTGCACAGCCACCATCGCCCCTCTTTCTCCACCGACGCCACGCTAAGTCACCATCATACAAGCATGCGCTTCTAATGCTTCTTGAACAACCCTAGATGTTTCTTCTCCTTGTCCTTTTTCAACTTGTGGTGGCCACCATCACCGGACGGGGGTTGGTAAGGTTGTGAGGGTCTTGACGAAGCAGAGGCTGTGCCCACTCCCGGGCGTACGCCAAGGTTCATATTTGCCATCGCTTCGGTTGGTGGTCGGGCTTTGTCAGGAGGTCTTCCGTTCGCCGGTTGTTGAGGTCTCGATTGCTGCTGAGCTTGTGGAGGAGGTTCCGACATCCATGCTGGTAGCCGGGGTGCGGCTCTATCCATCGGCAGGTCCAGTTGCCTTCGTCCGGCACTGAGTTGGCTCACTTGCCGCAGAAAGTTCTTGGGCGTTATCATATGGGTTGTCGCTAGGAAAACTTCTTTGCCAGCCATCCTAGAGACATCGTAACAGGCCCGTGCTTCGGCGTAGGTTGCACCACCTGCCACGAATACAATGATGCGTTGACGCGGCTTGTTGGATTGAGAGCGTGTTTGAGCCCAGGTAGGTTTCCCTGTGTTTCTCAGAGAAGTCTGTGAGACGTTCATTTGGCTGTTTGGGTCGTTGAGATGTGGCTTCACCGGAGGGAATACATTAAGATCCAATGTACCCTGGCATTGCTCTTCGAGCATATACCTTAGAGCTGGCTCAAATCGTGACAAACTGACTTCTTCCATGTTGCTGACATCCTTGATCTTCGGCTGAAATAATGGCGGTGGAGTAGGCGTTGCATCCTTCAGCTGTTTTTCGATCCTAGCGCCCAGAGTTATCAGGTTATAAATGATCTCTCCATCCATCGGCGAAAGTTCGCCGTGACATCGCAGCTTTTCGATATCTCCCCTCAGAATACCATTCCTGTATAGGATGTATAAAATTAAGAGTCGCACACGATCTTCATGAACGACGCTGTCGTCATCAAGCAGTCTGACCACCTGATCTGCTAGATTCTTCGGCTTTTTGTTCTCCTCATCAAGTCCTGTTGCAAGAGATTGCTCGACAGAGACCACATCCAGGAGCTTGTGATCAGCAAAGATTTTGGCGCATTTCTCAGCCATGTCAATATGAAGTGAAAATGCTTCTTTGCCTTCCTGAAACTCTGGAAGTCCCGCCAACATATCCTTGATGGTGTTGATGCTCGCAGGTTGTCCGTCGGCGTCGGCAAACTGAGGATTTTTAGCTTGAAATTTCTTGAATTGTTCGCTCAGCTGCACAAGGAGATCTTTCATGTGCATATGTCGGTGGTCGACCCAGAGGCTATCTTTCTCCGTAATTTCCACATCTTTCTCTTCCTGGTCTGGTTGGCCGCGCCTGATGACATTTCTGTATGTTATTTTGTCCTCATCATCTCGTATCGGTAGAAGATCCATGGCCATGGCCTGGTATGTTAATTCGTGGACGAATGGCGACATCAGATCCATAGATCGGTCGGTAATTAGTAGGACTGCTCGTGGCCGGTTAGCCGGATTTTGGGGAGGGAAGTCATTTCGTTGATCACGAGCGTAGTCGTCCAAGGCACTCTGTACGAAGCTGGCAAGATGATAACACAGGACATCAGCAGCATGTCTCTGATGTTCTCTAGGCTTGTAGAATCGGATCAGAGGGTACTCGCCCAAAGACACGCATATTGACACGATTTTTTGGGTTATGCTGTCCAAGTGGTTCTTAACCAGCGAGTCGCAAGCGGGGTGGAAGAGGACGTGAAAACTCCAAGGCTCTCGAAACGACACTAGGTTGCACTCTCGGGGGAAATACTCGATGTTGAGTGTCCGAGATTCGACAATCAACTTTGCTCGAGACTCTGAACGGAAGAGGTCTTCTCCAAGGTTTCTCGGTAGCTGGGATGTCCAGATAAGGTGAGCACGTCGGTATCTCTTTCGACTTAGATCAGCCTTGAGGCTTTCGACTATATGCGGTAAGGGGGAGAGGAGGTAAATCGCATCGGTGTCGGAGAGGGTCTGCCTGCGGTCTTCGAGGAGTTCGATGTTGGTTATGTTGGCGTTCAAGATGTCGTCTTCTTTACAAACGTTGTACACAACCCGTTTGCTTTGCTCGTCCAATATTAAGACCTTCCAGTCTCGCCCGCTGGTAGCCCGGATCGTGTCTAGTATGATGTTCCGCTGAATGTCGAGAATGGAGGTTGCCATGGCTGGGCACGAGGAATTAGAGCAACAGAGGTGCTTGCATACTCATGAACATGGAATGGCTTGGAGATTCTGTACACACCGCTCAAAAAGAGTGAACGAGACGGCCTTGCCACATGCACGGAGTATTCATGCGGTGATGGGTATGCTGTGGGGTGGGATAACTTGTCGCAGGCTGCTGCGGTGACATTGGGCCGCACCTAAGCCTCGTTACCAGGATATACCACGTGACGAGGCTGAATATGGCACCGGCTTTTCGCAATGAACGTGCAGATGGTGGCGTTCGCTCTTTTCCTCAAAGTTTGTACAATAGCGACACAGGGAAATCTGCATTTGGAGTCCTCCTGGAGTCTTTTTACGACACACTCATATTTGCATGGGCATGTTCGCTCCTTCAACCCGTCGACCGCAATGCCTCTTCTGTTCATTCCGAGCCTCCTTTGCATTGGTGTCGAAACGATATCCTGACAGTATCCGCGGCTACTCTACCACGGCTAGCCGCACAGATCGAAGACAACACAAAGCCTCCCCGATCGCAAGGTCCATTCTCTCGGCACCGCCGAAGTCTCGGCGCCCGAATCGGCGTCCGATCGCAAAAACGCTGCAAATCTCTCCAGATGCAAGTTACAACCGTGTTCGTGTCAGCTTGTCGAAATTGAAGAAGCGGCTGGAGTCGACAAAGGTGACAGCAGAATCAGAAGTTACACAACTCGCGGCGCTCGACCCCCATGGGACGTATTGGCCCGCATTCAGAGAGCAGCTCGAAAGTACTCTGGCAGCGCGGGGTGACTTTGAGAGCGTGGATTTTGATGGATTAATATACGACATTGGTCGTGCTCAATTGGGCGACTGGGAAACAGAACTACCGAGAGTGCTGCATTTTGGGTTTATTGATTACGTCCTTTTGAGAAAGGCGCAAGATGCTCCACAGGAGGGTTCGGTGCTCGACGATCTGCAATTCCCTACAGAATGGTATACCAATGCTCGACAGGTCCAAAGAGATGTCCATCTTCATATCGGACCGACCAACTCGGGAAAAACCTTCAATGCTCTGAAACGTCTCGAGGAGAGTGGCGACGGGTTCTACGCCGGCCCTCTCCGGTTGCTAGCACATGAAGTATATTCGAGGTTCAAAGCGAAGGGCGTCCCTTGTGATCTTATAACTGGAGACGATGTCAGACTAGAGGACGATCCGAATACGAAGCTCCGTGCATCTACGGTCGAAATGGTCGATATCTCAGCACGGTTTGATGTTGCCGTGATTGATGAGGTACAGATGATGGCTGACCACGATCGAGGTTGGGCGTGGACTCGGGCATTTCTCGGTGCCAACGCAAAGGAAGTCCACATTTGTGGTGAAACCCGAGTACTTCCGCTTGTTCGAGAACTAACAGCATCTACGGGTGACATACTTCACGTGCACGAGTATAAGAGACTGAATCCGCTCAAGGTCATGACGAAGAGTCTGCGAGGAGATCTCAAAAACCTGCGCAAGGGTGACTGCATTGTGGCATTTTCTGTCGTGAATATACACGCCTTGAAAAAGCAAATTGAGCTGGACACAGGTCGCCGTTGTGCCATTGTGTATGGGAGTCTCCCTCCTGAGACTCGCGCGCAGCAAGCCGCGCTGTTCAACGATCCCAATAATGACTACGATTTCTTGGTTGCAAGCGATGCTATTGGCATGGGTTTGAATCTGTAAGTTGAGTTAAACATAACATGAAGAAGAAAACGCTAACGTTTGAGCAGAAGCGTCAAACGCATTGTCTTCCACAGCGTTTCGAAATTCGACGGTACTTCCATTGTGCAATTGTCCACCTCTCAAATCAAGCAAATTGGCGGTCGGGCTGGCCGTTTTCGAAATGCGCATCAGGCCATGTATAACACCCAAACCGCTGCTGAGTCTAATGTCGGCCTGATCACCACTCTCAACGACGAGGACTTGCCGCTCGTGCGAGCTGCCATGGAATCAGAAGCCGCACCGATCAAAAGAGCAGGTATGCTTCCGCCCGCTGAGGCCATGGAGGAACTCGAGGGTCGTTTACCGAAAGGGATCCCTTTTGAATATATCTTGAGGCGGCTCTGTGGAAAAGCTGCCCTGCACGAGCGATTTCGAGTATGCAGTATTCGCGACCAGAGTCGCATTTCGCGGGTCATTGAATCTGTCCGAGGTTTGACAATGACCCAACGCATCATGTTGACGGCTGCACCTGCCACTTCAGCCTCGCAAGGAATGGACGAAGTAATGCGAGCTTTTGCGAGATGTGTGGCAGAGCGAAGACAAGTGACGATTGTCGACGTCCCTGAAGTTCAACTAGAGGTCCTTGAGAAGCCGATCTCCGGAGACCGAGCCTACCTGCAGAGCATTGAGGACCTCCACAAGTCCCTAGTCCTTTACCTCTGGCTCAGTTACAGGTTCCTCGGCATCTTCAAGGACAGAGAAATGGCCGTGTACGCAAAAGAGCTTGCAGAGGACCGAATCAACACGTGTCTCCTCGAGTTTTCTGCTAACCCCGACCTACGCAAAAGAGTTTTGTCGTACAAAAAGAGAATGGCTCTTCCTCAGATCCAAACCGAACAGGGTGCGATCACAGATGACGAATCTGAATTGGAGCTACCAGATGAAGACGGGGCTCTCCCTGTGGACTGGATTCAGGGTTCTGCAGCTGTCGACATCGAGCAATCTCCGCCTACACAGCCCTACCTCGCAGCACACGGATGAGTTTCTAGGCCGCTCTCTTTCGGCCGTTGCATGTTCTGTACAGAAATCACATCCTGTCCAAGGCACCTAGGGATTCTCGCTGAAGGACGCCACCGTCCGCTACTGAGATGTCGCTCTCCCCAAAGACACCCCCTGTTTGTCTGCGCGAGCATCTCTAGAGTCCAACAACAGACTGTTGCACCCAGAGTCTCATGGAAAGATCCTGAGAGGTAATAGTACGAAAGGCCAGGATGCGCACAAACGAGGACATGTATCATGACATGTATCAGTGTGTGGTGTTCATTTTGCTGCTAGTGTGCTATCGTGTACCAATACTTTTTCTCACCAATACCTAGGTCCCAATCTCAAAACTTCGTTGGGAGACTTGGGCTGAGTCGGTCTTCGGGCCACTCCATGCACTCATTGTTGAGTAACCTGTCTATCAGTGCCGCCGGCCGACGGATTTGATGCAGCCATCTCGCGAGCAAGTTGGTCTTCGGTCTTTTTGTTGCCGTGCAGAATCAGTCGGTTCAAGAAGCTTCCAGGCTTGCCTGTATCATGTCCTTCCCTCTCTGCATCATCAGCCTCTTTAGTGACATAGTCCATGGTTTCTTCATCGGCTGAATCGTGGTCGTCAAAGTTGACTGAAGACAAGTTAGCTGCGGGATTTCACATGGTCTGAATGGAAAACACGACGTAACAATGGAAGAAGACGGTCGATTGGGTGCAAGATGGTCAATCTCAAGCCTTGTAAGAACAACCGTAGAAACTCCCCAACGAGGACGCAAGGCCAATGCTGTACATACCGTCCTTGTCTTTGTGGCTGAGACGGCGCTTGATCTTTGCTCGAATGCTTTCCATGTTCAATGATGGCGATGATAATATGTTGAGCGGGTGTGGATCTCTATGCTAAGCCTAAGGACTGTGAATAGAGTAGATTGTGGGAGGTAGTGAATAGCTGAGAGGGAAGAGGCAGGGGTGCAGGGTACCTTTTTCTACTTGGACGAGGTGAATCTGAGAGCAGAGAGCAAAGAGGGAAGAGGAGAGAAGGAAGAGGGAAGAGGGGTGATCTACGCAGTACCACCGTGGGACACCATCGTCACCTTGCACCTTCCACCTTCCAGGGCCTCGACTCAAGAAAGACCCTGCCTTGCCTGCCATCGTCCTGGCAGATATCGAGTTCACTATAGCGCCACTGCAGGCCAGGCAATCCAGCTTGGGCTAGTTGGAGAATTACGCGCGCCACCCGCCCGCCGCCACCCAGATCGAGCCAACCTAAGCGAGGCGTGTTCATTTGATACGCAGCCTGCACCCCGATTCTCAAAATTTCCATGTCCATCTCCGAGATCGAGAAAGACTGCATCAGGGCCCGAGAACTGGCTGGACCAGGCCCGCCCCGCGCCCTCACACGATAACTGCACACCGTCTACAGGGGGGTCCTGACTCTGGCCAGCCATGGACGATTTCGCATCCCTCGAACTGCTGTCGCTCGTTTCCAAAGTCACCTCCGAACTGCAAAACCACCTGGGAATCAACGACAAAACTCTCGCTGAGTTCGTCATCGATCAGCACGAAAAATGTGGAGGCAATCTGGACAAGTTCAAGGAGGCCCTCGCGGCCATGGGAGCCGAGTTTCCCAACAGCTTGGTCGAGAGCATCGATCGGCTGATCAAGACGATGCATCCCAAGTATCAAAAGAGCCAGAAACAACTTGTACAGGGAAATGGCAGTTCGGACATGAACGAGCTAAATGATATCGGACGCAAAGCGAAAATCTTCAAGGGCCTTGCTGTTCCAGATCGCGAACAGCGCTGGACCGACTCTGAGGATGACGTGGCCGCACAGAAGGCAAAGCGAGCAAATCAACCAGAGGATGATGATACCTTTGCACTTCTCGAAGGCCTCGCGGGAAAATCAAAGAATGGAACGAATGGGGCAACCGAAAGGATCAGGAAGAGGAGCCGCAGTCCGGATCGTGACGATTACCCAAGAGACAGAGAACCAAGACGCAAATACTGGTCCCGAAGTCCTAGCCCGCGCGAGGAGAAAAGGTCGCGCAAATACCAGAATCAAAGTTATAGAGACAGGCATACGAGTCACAGAGATCAATACGACGAGAGAACAAATGGTCATCATGAGAGCAGGCGGCGCAACCACGATGAAGACGATGATTTTCGCAGGCCCCCCTCTCGTGAAGTCGATGAATACCCTGTCCTGTACAAGGTTTACGACGCAGTGGTCAATGGAATCAAAGACTTTGGGGCATTTGCATATCTCCAAGGTGTCAAAGGCAATGTTAGTG